TTTCGATCTTGTTCCTTATCCTGCAAATTTTTATCCGGAATCAACTAAAGAATTAAGTTTTTATTATGAAGTCTATAATGCTAACCTGGTTATAGGCGAAGGAAAACCATTTATTTTTTCGTACTACCTTGAATCCAGCTCTGATCAGAGTAAGATGGAAAATTATGGTGCGTTTAAAAAACAAATTTCCGGTCAGGTGAATCCACTTCTTGCTAAAATGGACATCAGCAAGTTGGCCAGCGGAAATTATGATCTTGTCATTGATCTTAAAGACGCAAACAATGTCACAAAGCTTCAAAAGAAATTTTCATTTCAACGTTTGAATATGACAGAAGATATTGCTCTTGTCAGGAAAAAAAATAATGCCGCCAATACAGCTGAGTATTTTGGACGGGTTACAGATCTCGATACTTTAAAAATGTTTGTAGAATGCTTGTGGCCGATAGCGGGAACAGTTGACAAAGAACGTATTATCAATCAGTCGTTGCGGAAAGATGAAATTATGATGAAAAATTTCATGGTAGACTTTTGGGAAAGAAGAGCTGGAGATACTGCGAATCCTGTAAAGCTTTGGGCTAATTATTACAAGCAGGTACAACAGGTGATGGTTCTTTTCAAATGCGGTAAACAAAAAGGATATTACAGTGATCGTGGCAGAGTGTATCTGCAGTATGGGGCGCCTGACAGAAGAAGTCAGCAGAATGTAGAGAATAACACTTTCCCTTATGAGATCTGGCAGTATTACAAGGCGGTAGACGGCGCTGGCGGCGCGGCGATGAACGACAGAAGATTTGTTTTTGTAAATAAAATGCTTGGTGATGATTGTTTTATGTTAATTCATAGTGATATGCGTGGTGAAGTAAATAACCCTCGCTGGCAGTTTGAATTGACACGTAGAAACAATCAGGGCATGGCGAATCCTGATAATAATACGCCTTCTAATACCGAGTTTAACCAATTCAACGACATGTACACAAGTCCACGTTAAAATTTATGAGTGTAGAGAAAGTAGCGGTTGTAATTTTAAATTTTAACGGAAAATATTACCTGGAAAAATTCCTTCCGGATATTATAAAAAATTCTTCTCCGCATAGGGTGATTGTCGCTGACAATGGTAGC